AAGTGCCCTTTATTGGTGCACCAATGTAGAATAATGTTATAACGAGCGTGGTTTAAAGGTGCAACTACTGTACTTGAGAAGAAACACCCACCGTATCGTTGTGAAAATGTTCTTTATTGGCATAAATTAAGTTAGCTTGGTTCAAGTTTCTTTATAACTGCACTGGAGCAATAATGAATGGTCCTAACTGTAACAGTTTATAACTGATAGAGCTTGCAAGTATTTATACAAAATTAAAATGATGTAGGTTTCCTCTAGTAGGAATACTGAACCAAAATGAAATGGCTATAATTGTAACATCGTCCTCTAGGGAGAACAGTACTAACAGTTTAGAACTGACAGAGTAATCAAGTATAAATAAAGTTAGATCAATATAGTTTTTTTTAACCACTATAGTCTTAGTTTAAGACACAATCTTCATATATTATATGCTTTACTTTGTGGCAAAGTCGTGCTTAGCGCTTGGATCACCTGTTTGGTGTATAACTAAAATATATTATGAAAACAAACTTTCATTTCTATGTCTCGACCCGCTCTCAAAGTTGTTTTCCAAAACTGCACTAATAACTTCTGAAATGTTATATGTTATGAGAACTAGATCATGTTCTGTGTATAATTGTATAGTCTCTAATTCTTACGTGCAGCGAGAGTGGCAAAATTAGAATCAGAACACTGCATATTGCAGTAACGGGCTGTCTTGTGCAGTTATCTTGCGTTTTGGAAAAGGTGAAATACACACGCACTTTCTAGCAACACCACGCGTGTATCCACTATCAACGCGTATCTTGGGTTTCCTCTTTCTCGTTCCAAAAACTTATAGGTATAGGTACGAAAAACCAGATATAGTAACAAACTCACGCAGCGAAAATAAAGAGATGGCAAACTTCGTTTGGGCACCGCAGTTGCTCCAAACTCTTTGCAAATTTCAGAGAAAAAGACTACAGTCAGTGACATTAGTGGCCAAAAAATAGGTACGGTCAGGTGACCGGAAACCCAGATATTTTTCACTTTACCTGAGGGTTCATGAGAGTACAGGAGAGTCGAAGAGTCCAAACCTAGTCTGACGATACTGAACAAAGTAGAAAATAGTTGGGAAACGAAAAACAGAGAGAATAGATTTGGCTTTGAAGGATGAACGAGTAAAGAACACAAAAAATTAGACAAAATATGACAACAGCTAGTAAAACCTGTATATAACTGCAGGATGGCAACAGATGGCAGCTGCCTGTTGAATGGCGCAACTACTTGAGAAGAAACTTGCAACGGCACTTTGTCAAAATTTGTTCTTTACTGACATAAATTAAGTTAGTTCGGCTCAAGTTGCTTTATAACTGCAATGGAGTAATAATGAATGGTCCTAACTGTAACAGTTAGAACTGATACAGCTTGCAAGTATTTATAGAAAATTAGAATAATGTAGGTTTCCTCTGGTAGCAATACTGTAATGAAATAGCTATAATTAGCTATAACGTAGCCCTCTAGGCAGAACAGTACTAACAGTTTAGAACTGACAGAGCTATCAAGTATAAATAAAGTTAGACCATTATAGCTTTTTTAACCACTATAGTCTTAGTTTAAGACACGATATATGCTTTACATTGTGACAAAGTTGTGATTAGCGCTTGGACACCTGTTTAGTGTATAATTAAAATATATTATAAAAACAAACTTTCATTTCTATGTCTCGACCCGCTCTCAAGTTGTCTACCAAAACTGCGAACTAATAACTTCTGAAGCAGTTGTTTAGCTAGATATTTTGAGCTATGAGAACTAGATCATGTTCTTTGTATAATTGTATAGTCTCTAATTCTTACGTGCAGCGACAGGGGCAAAATTATAATCACAACACGGCATATTGCAGTAACGGGCTGTCTTATGTAGTTATCTCGCGTTTTGGAAAAGGTGAAATACACAGGCACTTTCTAGCAACACCGCGCGTGTATCCACTATCAACGCGTATCTTGGGTTTCCTCTTTCTCGTTCCAAAAACTTAGGTATAGGTAGGAAAAACCAGATATAGCAACAAACTCACGCAGCGAAAATAAAGTGATGGCAAACTTCGTTAGGGCACCGCAGTTGCTCCAACGTCTCGACATTCCAGTCTAGTTTCCTCATCAGGGGCGATCTGAAGTCACCAGGTGTCTCCACACTTCAGATCCCTGATGAAGACACTCTATATACGCTGGAGTGTCGAAACGTTGGTTCGTGAATGCACTTCGACTAGATTTTGCATTCATTTATAAAACTAGAGTCGCGAGCGAAAACATGATTGTTCAACATAGTTGGACTAACAATGTCAGATGACGCCACTGGAGTCGTTTAAAAGGCGTTTAAAGTATAGGAGTGTGCTTATGATTGTTTACTTAAAATGGAAATCCTCTCAACTAATTTAGTTGCAAGACCAAACCATGAATTTTCTTCATTTGAAAAGAAATATAGGAAGCAACTTAACGTAAGTCTTCAACCAATAAGACAATGTTTAGTGTTTGGTAAAATATTTATAAAAGTGCATGTTGTCATGGTATAATGAACTATTTATATAATTATATCATAATTAAGTGCACTTCAAGATTCTCAATCTAACTATAACATCTGCTATCTATATTTGTTATGTTCAATTCTTCAGAAGAGGAGGACAACCCAGAAGACGCAACGATGGAGTTCTTTCCTTTCATCAACCTGATACTCATATTTGCTGTGAACGTATTGTTCTTTATCTCAGGAATATGTTTAAATTCCTTGGTCGTACTCAGTTTCCGGAGGTCTGTGCAACTTCGAAAGAAATTATGCCATTTCATGATAATGCTTTTGTCTTGTTGCGATTTGCTTGCGGTTTTAACTAGTCATCCACTGACGGCTGTTATCGCGATCTTATTCTTGACTGAAAAGTGGGATGCATACCATGGCTGGGCGATCATTTTCAGAAGGTTCACAGGTGTTTTCAATGGTTTTTCTTTACTCGCTCTTTTGGTGATGAATTTTGATCGATATTTGGCGACATATTATCCTATCTTTCATCGAACATTGGTAACGAAGGGAAGACTTTTAGCTATTCTTGCAATACTGATTACCGTTGAAATAACCCTGCTGCTGCTTTCTTTTAACGACCTGGTTATTCCCTACCAAGTTGCTCTTCCAACATTTATTATCATCATCATTCTCCCAATGTTGTTCATGAACTACAAATTGTTCGCAGTCGCCAGGAAAAGTCGTAGAAACACTGGAGTATCACCCGAGATGAAAAAGACCTTTTCTTGGAAAAACATATCGTGTTGCTTGCTAGCAGTCGTTTGTTTCGTGGTGCTAAACATTCCGGTGCTCGTCTATACTGGACTAAGAATAACCTTGAGAGCAAATGAATGGACTTTGGATAACGGAATCCTTGCCAGACTCTGGGCTTCAACCACAACGTCAATGAATTCAACATGTAACTGCTTAATCTTTTACTGGAAAAACAAGATTTTACGCACCGAGGGAATGAAAGTTATTAAAGGCATAAGAATATGTCAAAGAGTCCAAACCTGGTCTGAGGATACTGAACAAAGTAGAAAATAGTTGGGAAACGAAAAACAAGGAAAATAGATTTGGCTTTGAAGGATGAACGAGTAAAGAAAACAAAAATTTAGACGAAATGTGACAACAGTAAAACATGACATATAATTGTCACCTGGGGCAGTTGCTTAATACGAAATAACTAATATACTCTTTCATTTTAAACTGAAGTGCCAAAGGCTATGAGTTCTTTCCAAGTTCGCAAGTCGTGGTTCTTTAATAAAACTGCGCCTTTAATGAATGCTGTTTATTGGAGCACCACGGACCGGAAAGAACAGTTTAGAACTGATTTCGTGCTGATGCACAGTTTAGAACTGATGTAGAAAACAATAATGACGAGGAGAACAAACTTCGGCCGTCTCTTCGTCAAAATTTATTCTTTTTCAGCGCTAGCATAAATTAAGTTAGTTTGGTTTAAGTTGCTTTTTTATAATTATAACTGCAATAGGACAATAATGAATGTTGCTTACTGCAGTAACGGTTTATAGAACATGATTTTTTCTGTGTTGGCGTAGTGTACTCAGGTGAATATGATGCTTGTGATGTTACTCTGAGTTCCCACCGTTGCCAGGCATATTTTTCAAGCTTGTCCAGTGTGTATATACACTCAGAGTAACATTACAAGTAGTTTATAGAATAGTTTATAGAACTGCTATAACTTGCAAGAGCCTGCATATTGCAGTATATTTTTGTATGCAATCCGTGGTAAATCTATTAAACTAAACGAAACACCGCAAGTGGTAGTGTGGGTGGTTTTTGAACCGCATTTTTGTGGTGGTGGGTGTGTATAAGCACCATTAGTATGCATGACGTCATAATAGTATGCATGACGTCATATTAGTATGCATGACGTCATAATGATATGCACGGCAAGTTTGGGCAAGGGTGAGCTCATTAAGTATTCAGGGTAAGCAAGCTCATTAAATATTCAGGGTGAACAAGCTCATTAAAAATTCCCCTGAAGAGGGTGGAAGATGGGGAGGGCTGAAGGCATGGAGCATTATGTATGCATGACGTCGTAATGATATGCGATTACATCATAATGATATATGCAAGGCAAGTTTGGGTTATCGGAGGGTGCTACTTATTTGTTGTAGATTTTTTTATTTGCTCATCGTCGTTTGAGCTTGGGTCACCTCTCTTATACTACAAGTCTTCTTTAATCTTTGGTTAAATGGTAAAACCTTTTAAAGATGCGGTACAGTCCGTATGTAAACAAAGGCTTTGTTTACATTTTGGTATCTAAAATATTGAATTTTATTCGACAAGTATTTAATTATTTATATTTTCATGATTCTAGAGTATAATAAATTATCAAGACACAACAATCAAGCTTTGCAAGAACATAAAATGAAATAAAAAGCTAAATAAACTGTTTGTAAATAAAAAGAGGGCTCCTTTGTGCACATCGGACTGTACCCTCCTATATCTATGACTGTACCACATCTTTAACATCTTACCTTTTTGACGTGATGAAAAGGATCTGCAATGGTTTTCTGTAAAATTTTGACCAGATCATCAATGTACATCGCCATTTTTTCTCTACACACTTCAACCAAGGCAATCAATAATTCCAGCAATAGCAATCTCAATTCTTCACACGTTTCAATGATTTCCTGTTGGCCCAGGCGTTGGACACAAGTGGGAATGATGTATGGTAGAAACGCAGACATGTCTTGTACACAGGATGATGCACTACGATAATTGAATTGCATATTTTATCAAGGGTGGGTTGACTACAATTTTTTTGTAGTTCGCTATAACTACAGCTACTTCAAAAATATGTAGTCAGCTACAACTACTGCTACTTTTGAACAAAAGTAGTTCGCTACTGACTACAACTACTGCTTAAAAAATGTAGCGAACTATTTCGCTACTCAATATTTTTTAATTTTACTGTATATGGAACATCTACTATAGCTCAGGCTGTAATGTAACCTATAACAAATCGACTTACGCGAGTAAATAAGACGGCATGCACTTGCACAGTTTGAACAGTTGCACGGCATACTTTATTTGTGCAAATTGAGTATTGATTTTAAGCAAACTGTGTCTTAATAACATTCTATTCTATCAAGTTGCTAACAATTTTAAAAAGTAGCGAATAGCGATTTGCTGTTTGAAAAGTAGTCAACTACTTGGCTACTTTTAGGCAAAATGTAGTTCGCTATAACTACAGCTACTGTTTTGAAAAAGTAGTTAAAAACTACTGGCTACTTGAAAATTGTAGTTCGCTACAGTAGCGAACTACAACTACTTCGCTACTACCACCCTTGTATTTTATAAAATACATGACAAAACTTTGAAAAAATCTAAGAACTGCCTCAGCCTACTATCATGATACTATGGTCTGTGATAAATTCCATACACAGTTTAATTGAACATGAGAAAATTGATTTTTAACTGGCAGAAAGAGTAAAAGAAAAGACTAGGGGAATAGACTTACTCCAAAACAAATTGTATTGACAGCTCTCGACATTTTTCAGATGGATCGGAGAATATCTTCAGCACAGGCTTGATAATAGACTCAAGACATTCTTGCAGTACACCAGAGTTTAAAGGCGGCTTCTTTTTTATTAGTTCCTTGCTGATTTTTTCTATTGCTCTTTTTCTGGTAGATTTATTATCCTCAGAAAGACAATTGATATCCCTCTGAATACCCTGAAAATATATTATTTATATCCAAAATGTATAAATAATGACATGGAATGTAGTACTCTACTAAAATTGCATGTTCATAACAACTATTTTGGTAGACTGGTACAGTTTACAGTAAAACATATTATTATTTATTTAAAAAATTCCTGGTTTCTGATTGGCTAACAGCCAACTGTGAAATTGTCATATCAACTCAATGGCTAACCAAATCTGGATTTTTCACATTCATAATAGCAAAATGACGTCAAAGAGTCAATATGAAAAAAATTTGGACGTGTTTGCGCCATATTACTATGACGACGAGAATCATATTGACTCCCTGACGCCATCGATAGGGAGCTTTAGATTTGACTACGAGTACGACTACGAGTACGAGATTCGTCAAGCGAAAACGCATGCTGTATGCTTACGCCATCCCGTACTGACGCGAAAAGGTCGTAGCCGTCGCCCATCTGAGTACGAACTTGCGGATAAATCTCGTAGTCCTCACGACGACTTTTCAAAAAAACAAAGAAAGTTGACTTTTTTTTGTTTTCCAAAAATAATTTCTAGCATTTATATAGCGTTTATCCGGCGCAAATAATATATTAATACTAAATATCTGGCCTGTTTTTAATGTTATGACTTATTTTCACGTTTTGTAGGGGATTTTAGTCTGCAGGAGATTTAGTTTATGAAACTTTTTCTCTCGTTGTTGGTTTACTACTATAAAAACAACATTTGAGTGAAAACGAAAACGACTACGGTAATTTCCTAGCACGCCAGGCGCGGATCCAGACCGTGGCAAAAGTGGCTCGAGCCACGGTCAGATTTTTCCCACCTAGGATTTTCCGGGGTTCACCTTTGTTGGATACTGCATTAGACTGCATTACGCATTTTTAAGAAGTATATATTAGTTATTTGAAATACAGCAAAATTGAGCAAATATAGGTCTATAGCAAACAATTTGAATAATATCTTTTGTAATTGTTCTCATATTACAGTAATATGTGCTAAAAGCAGGAAAAACTTCCGAAATATATTCCTTGTTCAATAGTATAATTATCCAGTTAAACACTGAACTATAAAAACCGCCGAAAGCGTGCCGAATGGTGCCGAATATGTTCGGAAAACAGTCGTAAATTCGAAGCTGCGATCACAGCCACAAAATGCCACGGTCAGCGTGCAAAAAATTGCGCAATTGTTACTAAATATAGTAACTTTCTGCCACGGTGCAGCGTTGCAAACCAATCACAGGGCAAGTTGTGGTCATGTGCGCCACGGTCTGCCACGGTGGGTCTATTTTGATTGCGCAATACAAATGATCAACAATAAAGTTCGATACTTGTCGACTTCACGGGATAAAGAACAATACATTACAAGCTACATGGATGCTATCAGGATGGAAGCTTTTAAAAAAAGTCGATGTTCTTAGCAAGCTCGTCGAAATCTTTCAACAAGCAAACCTAAGCGAACATATTTCAGGGGAATTATCGCTCTTGAGGCAACAATGTGATAAATTTATCATTGAAGAAAGGCTGCGCCGTATGAAATCTACTGGCGAGTCGTGCTGCCAACGTGCGAATTTTCAAAACTGCAGTTCCCCAAGAGCCAAACTGAAAGATCTGGGCCTAATGTTCCTGTTAGGTAAGAATTTTTAATCGACTTATATTAAATTTGCATTTACGCTGGGGTCAGGGATAAATTTGTGCATGCAAATTTGTATGTATGTAAATTTTTGTTAGTGAAATAGTAATATGATCTCGAACACATGGCGGTTGTCAATAAAATATAAATTGCATTTATCCGTTATGTTGTCGTGAAATATTAGTAAAAACTCTGTTTAAAACTGTTATCAGTATTTTGCTACAGTTTACGGCTACAACATTTGATTGTCGACTGTAAAATGAAATGTTTACTTCAGTATTGGGTCTATATAGTCGTCTATTTGGTTTCACCAAGCTTTAAATATAGCGTCTTAATATTTGTAGGTTGACCAGGGGTCGGTTGTTCTATTAGCTAAGGCTAATCCTTGGTTAAAATTTAACCTAGTGTTTTTGTTTGTGTGTTTCTGCATGCCTGTTTACTTCGAAGCTTTGAAGAAAACTTTCATTCATCCAGACAAGATTTCTGAAGAAATATTTCTAAATTGCTTGTGTGATATTACTCTGAGTGTATATCCACACCAGGCAGGGTTGAAAAATATGCCTGGCCATGGTGGGATTGGAACCTACGACCTTTGGAATACTAGCCCAATCCTCTGCCAACTGAGCTATGCAGTCAGATCGGTTCGAATATGCAATACTTTGGAACTGAGTCTAGTTCCTTCGATATTAGTGTAATCTAATAATCATCATATTTGCTGTGTTGGACTGTTGGTGTAATGTACTCAGGTGAATAAGATGCTTGTGTGATGTTACTCTGAGTGTATATCCACACTGGGCAGGCTTGAAAAATATGCCTGACCACAGTGGGATTCAAACCTACAACCTTTGGAATACTAGCCCAATGCTCTGCCATAGAATACTAGCCCAATGCTCTCCCAATGCCTTTGCCAAAGGTTTGAATCTCACCGTGGCCAGGCATATTTTTCAACCCTGCCCGGTGTGGATATACAGTCAGAGTAACATCACACAATATGGATTCTTGCACTTCACTTGGTGGAATTAATATTAGAATGTTAGGGTTAGTAATCCAAGTGAGAATATATACATTTTAAGACCTAACCAGGAACGACTGCGAAAAATGCAGCACAAGGTCCTCTGGTAGGAATCGCAGGGCCGTAGGTTCATTTCCTACCAGAGGACCTTGTGCTGCATTTTGCGCAGTCGTTCCTGGTTAGGTCTTAAAATGTATATATGATTCTCACTTGGATTACTAACCCTAACATAATTTTCTAATAACATCACACAAGCATCTTATTCACCAGAGTACATATTACATCAACACAGCAAATATTTTTAACAACTGACCCTGGGAGGGTGACTACCTCACAGGTGTTTGTTGTGCATGAATATTGATGTTGTTGTGGATGATGTCATCCTAATCCTGACATTAAAACCTAATCCCGAATCTAAAACTGCAACAAAATCCCATGAGTTAGTCAAGGACAGCTGTGAATTTGATGTCATCATGATGTTACTCAAATTACACAAAGACATTGTAGGGGGCCTCATTGTTAAACTAATTATGATTATGGCTCAATTTCCATATTAATGATACCAAAATTTAATCTCCAGTCCTTACCTTAAAGCCAACTCTAGTTCTATTGGTTACCCTGACTAATTCTAGTAATTATCCTTTCGGCACAAAGTTATATGGAATGTGACCCATGATTATACAAGCAAAAGGAGGGAAAACATTTGGGAAAACAAATGGTTCCTTGCTATTTCTCAAATGGCAAGGCATAACATTTGTTCTCCAGATAATTTGAGCGAAGTTTGCAAAGTATAATCACATAATTACTGTGTGGTGTAAAGAAGTTGACATTCTGGTTAAAAGTTTCAATTGAATATTTACAAAATAATATAAAATAACCATTGATACTTAAATGCTTAAATTCTTTCAGTACTTCATTGTCTTTTTAATGCATGTTCTATTGCGTTAATCGGGAATGAGAGTTTGTCTGCTCACTAGCTTGAGATGCCTCACTAGTATTGAACTGTTTGAGAATGCCAAATACTATGCTAACCACTCCTTCATCGAGTCCCAGCATAAAAACGTAGCGTTCACTTCATTTAAAAATGCCTTTGCCATGTGTGTATCTGATGCAGCTCTTACTTTTTTCGAGAATTGTAATGAAATGCAGCAGTTTTAGAAGAAGCAAAGGAAACTACAAAAAATTACACATTCTCATCCATGGTGTGCATGTTTGCCTTGTCCACAGTAATTCAGTGTGCCATTCAGTCATTCTACCCACTCACCAATGATACTGTAGCGAAAGAAAATTGGGATTCCTTGGATTCAATTGTACAATACAGTATATCCACGGGATTATCTTGATGGCAGTGCAATTGAATATGTCCATATATTTCATTTTGCTGCGATGCCACCGCCTTATTTGGTTGATCGAAGAATTCTATGTACCAAAAATCATTTTGTTACCTTGTGCAAACCAGTTAAAGCACTTCAGCCACGAGACCATTATTTTAAAGCACACCTTCCAACCTTATTGAAGTCTGCGATGCCAGTTCATCCTAAAGTTCCTCCTAAAGTTCCTCCTAAAGTTTCTACTAAAGTTTTTTCTGCTCCTTCCTCTACACTTACTACACAAGTGACTACATTTACTAAAAAGCAGACGACTGGTCCAAAAAGAAAACAAATTAGCTTAGATCAATGCGCTTCTTGTGAAACGAGCGTGCAACACACAAGAAACTGTAGACAGTGAAATCAAATTTCCCAGCACTAGTAAAGGAATTTCATCTGTAACTCCCAACACTGGTCCTACTTAAGAAAAATATAACACCAAAACACAACGAACTTCCACCAATTCGTGGCCAGATGATATCTACAACTACATAAATCTGGTGTCCAGTCTTCCTGATTCAAAAAAGTACGAAATTCTGTGCAATCATTGCCATTGGAAACCTGGTTCTGATTTTTCTTTTTCTCCACACGAAAATATTGGTAGACGTTTCCGGTTGGCATGGTTATCACGATTTCCATGGTTGGCTTACTCTGCTGTGGCAAACGGTGGTTTTTGCGTCACTTGTGTTCTTTTTGGCAGTGAAAGCACGCATAATGCAAGCGAGCTCCAACGATTGATGACCAGTGCTCTTCCTCCAAGTGCTTCTGCTGTCCAGAAACTATGTCAGCATGGTGAAAAATCCAATGTTCACGCAACGGCAACTCTCCGTGCTACACAGTTTAAGCGAATGATCGAGAATAAGACCGACTTGGTATCGATGTGCAGCTGAAAAACCCCACCCCGTAAAAGATCTACGTTGCAACTGAAACGCCAAGATGATTGAGTTCGATGTACAGCCCTAATTGTATATTTTTTGCTACGAAGAACCTGAAATACACAGGAACAGTACGTGCGGTACAGAATTGTGGTTTTATGTAAGTACAGTGATTTTGTAACATTCTAATGTTGTAACGTTCGCTGAAGAACATGGTATGTTGTTTAAATATTTGACTTATTTAGTGCGTTTCGTTATTTGCTGTCTAAAATATGGCGTAATTAATGACGAATTATATGATAGAATTCGATGCTCAGAACTCAGGAAATGGCATTTCCGGGGTTCAAATTTCAAAAATTTTCCGGGGGGGAATGCCCCCGGACCCCCCTAATTATGCGCGGTTTTGGAGTGCGCCACGGTCAGGGTTTAGGCTGGATCCGCGCCTGTATAATACATTGATATGTATGAATGTACATCTTTAGTTTGGTCTCTGTCTGTCAATCTATATTTAACAATTATTGAATGAGGTTGAGCACGATATGAAGAATTATCAAGCCCGAAGTTTGCCGTTATCAACTGAAGCCGAAGGCTGAGGTTGATAACGACAAACTGAGGGCTTGATAATTCTTCATATTGTGTGAA